TTGGTCGTATGATGGTCGCACAACATCGTGAGGTGGTCGTATGATGGTCGCACAACATCGTGAGTTGTTCCTATTATGTTTGCATCGTTAGTTGGATGTACGATGTTCGCATGACATCGTAGAATGGTCGCATGATGTTCGCACAACATTGTGAGTTGTTCGTGTGATGTTCTCACAATGTCGTAAGTTAATCGTTCTATGGTCGGGTCGCCACGTTATTTGACTCGCCTTCTGGAAACTAAATATATTTCAATTCCTGCAATTAGTTATGTCGTGGCTATATGCGTAATAATATAAAACCCCAAAAAGTAAAAATATATCTACATTTCCTGATATATGTATCTATACATATAATTATGACAATTTCATTTAACTAACTCGGTCAGATCTCTATCGTTTTCGTATCTTAGAAAAACACTTTGGTAACACTTTCGGCAAGAGAGCACTGACACAATTATTTGCGGTTAGGTATTTACAGTATTTACCAAGCTTTAACAATGTCAGTAAAAATTAGTAATTCCCCTCGTGAAATATATATATATATATATATATACTTTAATATTTCTGATCTCAGCGCGTTTCCCAAAGAGACGGAATTAATATTGTTTACAAACATGATCGAACTCGATTCTTGCCGTTGGTCTTTGATCTTACTCATGGCTATCAGGTTTAATTTAACATAAATATATTTTACATACTTCGAACTATGAGGCAATTTCCAATTGGTCAACTAAAAAAGATTAAGACCAATCAATCAATTTGAAAATTTCTCGCACATTTAATGAGGTTTTCTGCCATTGGTCTATAAAAAAAAAGTTATCGCTATCACACACACACACACAAGTGCACAGATGTCAGACGACGGCTTCTTGTTCCGAACATGAGACAGTTTAGGTATTCATTCAGTCTGCGACAAAGCCGTTCAGCGACCACAAATAAAATAAACGTAGAGAGAAGAGTCTGTGTTCAGTGTTACTAATATAAACTGTCACACCAATTTTTCTTAGGACTATAATTATTTTTTTAATCGAAAATGAGTTCAATTAACATTTACAGGTAAAAACTGGTGCAATTTGAAATTTTAATATCAACTGCATCGCTCAGATGAATAAAGTCATAACATTTCAATCGTATGATTAAAAGTCTTTGAATTGTTCTTTTCAACGTATAATTGCTCTTAATAAGCCTTTTTTTAGTTTTGACGGTCCATGTAGAATATTCCTAAAGCCCAGTTCTAATGAGATTCGTTAATTATTTTCAGTTCTAGATGTATTGACTATTCATTTAGACGGAAACCTTGCGAAAACATTTTGTAGATAGTGTTTAAAACGTTTTTTTAAAAAGCCTTTCCTACATAGTAACCCATAACAAGGCTGAAAACATTTAAAATGTCGATTTGTTTAGGGTTTTTTTAATTTTTAGAGCAAAAATGATTTGATTGATGTGGTGTTTTCAATTGCATGGCGAGCAAACGCCCACGTTTTTACTCCAAGTAGAAAATCCTCAAGAATTTAGCTCTTCCTCTAATACGCTGTTCTAAATCACTGCCTGAGTTCTAGTTTTGCTTTGTCTTGATTAGAAAAATATCGGAAAAGCCATTTAGACCATAGATAAGAGATTGTTCATCGCTTACTCGGTAATTTTAGCATTAGTCTTGCGAACTGAAGACCATTATAATCATTGAAATCTGTCTAGATATTTTGCTCTATCGTTTTTTCCCGTGGCTTGAGGTTTTATTTCGCACCGTTTATGAGATAAGATAAATATCGTCACGAATTTCTTCGCAAAGAATTAATCTTTGGAATTTCCTTAAAGCATTTAAGAAAATATTCATTCTGAAACAACATTCTGACGTGTCTGGTTAAGAATGCAATAAAATATGCATTTCAGAGATTTTATTGTGCCAGAAATTTGACAGATCTTTTTCATCTACAGTTTAGAGATATGAGGCTGCGGTCATGTGACACTTTAAAAAACACGACGAAAAGCCGGTGGACCGAATCATTAGAAACTCGAAGAATTTAAAGCACGACCTGTTAGGATGTATCTTCAGTCAAATTGATTTTCAACTCCCCATCAAAGCACATGATTAAGAAAGCATATAATATTATGGCCTAAATCGGCGAGTCGATTGTGTGGTTTGGACCTCATGCTATTAGCTAAAACAAAAACACTTGGAAAACTTACGACGGGCGATGCTGACGAGCCGCTTATCTAGGCTGGATTTTTAATCCCCGAGAAAAAATTTGACAAGAAAATCCCTCGAAAAGGTAGGTTAATGTGATACTACCAGGAATATATAACGGAAGGCAAGGAAGGAAGAAAGAAAAATGGCTGATAGAATTACTCTAAACGTAAGTGGAGCAGTATTTGAAGTCAATGTCGAAGTCCTTCAACGATTTCCACAGACATTACTTGGATCTCGTTGTAAGAGAACCAAGTATTACGACAGTGCGAGAAATCAGTACTTCTTCGACCGACATAGACAAGCATTTGAGGCGATTTTATTCTATTATCAAAGCAATGGCAGGATTCTTTGCCCAGATAATGTACCAGATAAGGTATTCGCAGAGGAAATGGCTTTTTTCCAGATTTCAACTAAACACCAAGATGTCAGAACAGACAGTGCGGAGAAGTTTGAAGCATTCATGATGAACCAACGAGCTCCTTCGAGGCTCAGCCATCATTGGCAGAGAAAACTTTGGGAATTCTGCGAAATTCCTGAGTCGAATCTATTTGCCCGGTTCGTATCCATATTCTCACAAATAATAATATATTTATCAATAGCAGCAACTTGCTTGGAAACGATAGATACGTTGAGAATGTATGGTGGATATCCGGAAACAGAACCTGACAGCAGCCCACTGATTGAAGAGAACTCCAAAACACAAGTATTTCCACGTAATGTTTGGTTTTCTTTTGACATTGCATGCTTCGGGTGGTTTACGTTGGAATGCGCGATACGATTTCTGGCATTCCCAAACAAATTGGAATATTTTGAAACGCTGGCGAATTGCATAGACGTTCTGACTGTTATTATATTCTACATATTCCTAATCGTGCGTGTCACCGCTCCCAAAGCAGTACTCCCACTAAGAATCCTGCGCTTTCTGACCATCATTCGTATCTTTAAGCTCTTTCGTTACTCGAAGAGAATGAAAATCTTCGTCCTGACGTTGGCAAGTGGTATTCGCGAGCTTTGCATGTTGTTGGTGTTTTGTGTAATGATCTTGATATTGAGCTCTAGTGCGGTATATTACGCTGAGGACGGCCTTGATAACAGCCAGTTTTATAGCATACCAGATGCGTTTTGGTGGTCTATTATTACAATAACGACCATAGGTTACGGCGATAAAGTCCCAATTTCCCCCAGTGGTAAATTTATTGGTGGCATGTGTGCCGTGTTCGGCGCTCTTATCATAGCGCTGCCGCTGTTTCGTTTTGCCGCGCATTTTCGCAGCAGACTAGACCATTTGAGTAACAAAAATAAGATCCAGTCTTACAAGGCTCCAAATAAAAAGAAGCTTATGGAGGGATTCGGAAGAATGTGAGACTAAACTCTATAAGACTGGAATATTAACCTTCTAAAATGAACCCATCTACTTTCAATGAAGAAAGTTAAAGCTGCACCATTGTGTCTCAGTAATGCTTCCCGTCGAACAGCATCCAATAAATTAAAAATCACTTACAAATCAATAAAAGTAAATTTATATCCTTTGTTTAGGAATTATTTTGTCAAAGGCGCTTCGTATTATCAACTATGTTAATACATCACCAGTTCAGAATTAAATATTGGATGCAAACGAAAATAATCAAAATAATTGCCCTAATAAATTACGGTATAGAAGGGCTCCGAGAAGGTTCAAATAGTTTTCTTGTTGATCGTCCCATCAGTACATCAACCCCCCTTGAACTGCCGTCCAGTTACATTGTATAAAAACTTTAAACCAAAAGGCGGCAAGGCTCTTCCTCGTGTACTAGAAATATTTATGATAAACGTCCAGCTGTGAATATTCAATCCAGAATTAATTTTTTTCTGTCAATCGCGACAGCTGTACCACAGGATGACAAGACATCCCAGTACGAAATTTCTTTGAAATGGAACTGAAATGTTTATGAATGGAGAATGAATAACAATGTTTCTACTAGAGTATTGAAAACCAGTCTAAATACTATAATCTACGAGGACCAAACTAATTGCGGTTTCTTTTAAGTTCTATTTCTCTTTATTTTAGTAGTCATTCAGTATTCTGCAACATTGCATAGATATTCAAGGGCTAGCGAGAATCACTCAAAGTGAGAAGCGCTTGAATCCATTACTATTGTAAAGTAGGTAGATTAGGAAAATAGACTTCGAGATTAACATGCAGGCTTCACAATAACCGAAAAAAACAATTCTCTGGCATACTTATTAAAGCGGATGGTTGCGCTGAAAGCGCTTTGTCCCTTTTCAAATTATCATTTTTAAAAGCTGTCGTTCGAATTAAATGTAACCTCTGAATCTAAAGTTTTGTTTTTTTTTGTAAGAACCAATAATATTGCAGGTTGAATCCTCTTAAGGATAAAACAAGAGGTTTTTGAAATAAATAATTATTAGTTCTTGGTTCTCATTTTATCACTGATCTGCTGTGTCTACGATTTCTCAGGGCGACAAGAAAAATTCTGGAGGAAATTCTGTTCTGTTTTAAAGCATGAAGATGTGAAAATATGTGTATTCTGAGCTATAGGACATGTAATTTTATTTCTGTCATTTCTGGAGGCGAGCGAGCATTCTAGCTCAATTAGCTATAGAAAAAGAAGTACGATAGTCGCTCTGGTTTTGGGAACGGCACAATCAAAGTTCTTTTATGGAATTTAACTTTCATATATTTACAATTTAGAAATAACAGTGGCCGAAATCCTTGCTCAGGGCGCATCACATTATTACCGGTGTTGGATTTTGCTTTCTTGCTCTGAATGAAGTCATTGAAATGAGAGATTAAATTGTGTGTATAAAATATAAGAAAAAGAACCCCGTAGGCCATTCTTAGCTACACTATTAGCCTCAACAAGGGACTTCATAAATTATTTCTTCAGAGTTTGAATGATAGCTTTAAGGAATTTCGGTGTTCATCGGTATTCTATGATTGCATAATAACGATAACTAGCTGAAGATAATCGCAGGCATCCCAGACCTCCTATTTATCCTATATATCCATAGTTAATAGATTGATTAACTACTTGTATATCCTTTAAGAAAACCTTCTAAATTGAAAGCATTTACATTCAAGTTTTGCATTTTCTAGCATTTTCAGTTTTTTTTGTTTTTTTTGTTTTTTTTCTATTTTCTTTTTTTGTATGAAAAACTCCCTTACTTGAATTCTATAGAATATTTTACAACATAGCATCTTTGGTGATGATCTCCGGTCTTATCAAAAAATATTTACTATTAAATGTTTCTATAAAGTGCCTATATCTTAGAAAAGTTCCTATTTTCGATGATTTAGAACTCAGACAGACTGTCTAATTTCCTTTCAAAATTGTCCAAAAAGTGGCTGAGATGTCTGTAATCGTATTTCGCATTACGGATGAAATAAGAAATGATTAGCAATATTCTTTCTGGTTTATTAAGGCTTTTATGACAGCGAAAACCTCTTTGACTGACTACCGCGTGAGGTCTTAGTCGCTTTAAGCGAACAGGAATAATCGTATTAGTTTTCCATTAGGTAGATAGAAAGCTTATTGGGCAATTTGCAACTCATGCACTTCAGATAAGACGGTGGACTTAATAACGAAAAATTGAGAACGTTTTAGAATTAAGAGCTCAGAGATATTGGGGGAATATGAGAAGTGCTAGTTAATAGGAGCAGAATTGAGAAACGGAAGAGGAAAAAGGATGGAACCATGGGGTGTTCGGCTTTGCTTAAATAGTGATAGACTAAGCTTACGATAACGAGACCATACACTCTTTAATACTAGGAATTTTTTCAGAGCAATAATGACAGTTAGACAGTTGGCTTTTGTGGTAAAAAGCTTGATAATTGGACAGTTATGATTGTAAAAAAAGTAATGAAAATAGGCTTAAGACACACTACATGATGATGACATCGATGGCATTGATAATATAAGAAGTATTTATTAGGAAGGTATTTGTAGATTTAAAATAACCAATAGAACAGATGGCTTTGATATAGCGCATGATGATTAGGATGATGGTGGTGCTGCTGGTGGTGGTGATGATGATGATGATGATGATGATGATGATGATGATGATGGTAGTTGTGATGATGATGGTGGTGATGATGATAATGATGATGATATGATAGTGATGGTGATGTTCATTGATGTTGCTGTTGTTG